TTTTTCCTCAAAATTGTCAGCTTTTTTTTTTATAGCGCAAAAAATAAAAACCGCACAGGCGATCAAATACCACCAAAAGAAAGCTCAATTTGTGGGAAAAAAAGGATGTAAATTTCATTTATGTACCGTATTGCATGACCGTGCAATTGTCCATTAAACTAGCGCAGCGCTGTATAGCAAAAAAAATGGCGTAAATTGCAGTATTTATACCATAGTTTGTAGACGCTATAACTTCCACAAAAAGCAATCAATATACACTTATTGGGATTTTTTTTACCAAAAACATGGAGCAGAATACATTTTGGCCTAAATTTATAACCAACATTGAGTTTACTATATATTTTTTATAGCTGAAAATAAAAAATATTGTTTTTCTTCAAAATTTTTGGCCTTACTTTGTTTATAGCGTGAAAAATAAAAAGCGCACAGGTGATAAAATTACACCGAAAGAAAGCTCTATTTGTGTGAAAAAAAGGACGTAAATTTCGTTTTGGTGCAGCATTGCATGACCGCACAATTATCAGTTGAATTAGTGCAGCGCCGAGTAGCAAAAAGAGGCCTGGTCATTAAGGGGGGTAAATCCTCAGGAGCTCAAGTGGTTAACACCCCGGTCACATCGGGTGCGCCTTTGCATGCGGTTTGCATGCCATGCAACTTGCAAATCGTATGCCAAATCACACCCTATTGTCTGCAATTAGAGCGTTCAAAGCGGTGGGTTCTGACTTGGTCAATTTCTAAAGTAGTACATGCACTACTTTGGGTGCGATTTCCATAGACATCTGTGTCAGAAGTCTTGCAAATCGCACCTGAAATCGGCATCTCACCCGACTTTGAAATTATGCGACTTCACTGTAAATCACACGATTTCAAAGTCAAGCTTGATGTGACCGGGAGGTTAACTAACAGGAGGAAAGTTCAAAACTAATCTCAGAAAGTACTATTTTACTGAAAGAGTAGTTGATGCTTGGAATAAACTTCTAGCAGAGGTAGTGAGCCAGTCAACAGTAAATAGCTTCAAACGTGCTTGGGACAAGCATAGATCTATACTCAGACAAAAAACAAAACAAAAAAAAAAAACAAATATCCCCCCCCAAAAAAAAAAAAAAACGGGCAGACTGGAAGGACCACTCAGTCTTTTTCTTTTTTCTATGTTTCTATTTTCTACTATAAATGATAAACTTTAAAAAAACAGATTAGATTAGAATACTAGTCAAATATAAAGAGACAGACAAATAGAATAAACAGACAAAATGATTGTACCAAAAAGAAAACACTTGGGAACAAGGTGAAATCATTACCTGCTACTACCAATCCAATGGCTTTTGGATGGAACATAATTAAATGCTTTGGGACACATTTCCTTTTTTGCTCCATTTTTTTTTTCCATAAATCAGACCCAGCATGTACACACAGAGGACGATGTTTTAGAGCTCCTCAAACAGATGAAAATCCTCAGAGAAAGTGTTTTTGGCACCAGATCAAGATTGATCTTAGCTGTGATTACACAGACCCTCTTGTAACATAACACATCCATGGCTCAGTAGTAAATTTATTTTGGCAGCTCTGTGTTTTACATCAATAACCCTCTGGTCCTGAAACCCCCCCCTATTCCCGATGACTCCAAAGGGTCAGAGCAGGGCTCTGTTTGCATTCATGTGTTGACTTGATGAAGAAGATGAATCTTATTTAACCCCTTAAGGTTAATCGATATTGGACCTATATCCTGATGAGGTGTCTCTTCCATTACCTGGGCAAATCCACATGGAGCAGGCACACACGTGTGGACATGAATGTGCTCATACACATGCATATGCCATGGTTGTTCCAACTCCTACCAGCATGACTGCACTGCGTTAATTGGGCATTGGCACAGCTCAAAAAATGCTTGTGTCAATAATGTGAGCCTTCCTGTGTGTACACACTAACACTTAAAAGACTGTTTTGCACCAATAAAAATGTCTACCGCATCATTTTCTGGACTCCTGACTGTGTAGGCACTGGTATAGCAAATCTATGAGAACTCTGAATAAATGGCCCATAAAACGCCCACTGGGCATTTTTCAGCATTATCTGTGATATTCCCAATCCTTTGTTTTTGCTGGCCCAGGCTTTGCTCTGTCATCAGAAAAGCTAAAAAAAAAAAGGCTAAAAGCAACTTAAAACACCTCTATTAAAACTATAGAGGCAATGATGGACTTTAACAAGCATTGTTTTAAATATCTGTAAGTATGAGCCTTGAGCCCTGGTTCACAATTATGCGGTGCGGAATTTGCAGCGATTTTATAGCAAATTCCGCACCGCATCAGAATCACAACCCGTTCATGCAAACCGCAGCGAGTGTGTATGTTAAGTTAACAACACCCCAAAAGAGGTCTGCAAAACGTGGTGTGATGTGCAAAATCGGATCGCATAGGTGTGAATACCCATACGATCCGATTCTAGTGCGGACCCCAAAAAAGGGTTCTGCACGTTTTTTGTGTGGGTGCAGTGCGAATAGAGCCATACAAAATGTACGGCTCCAATCGCACCGCATACAAATCGCATGTGATTTGCACAGGAATGCGGTGAGGTTCCTGTGCGAATCACATGCAATATACTGCACCGCACATATGTGAACCAAGGCTGAGTATGACTAAATGTGTTTCCCCTGCAATTTAGGTTAACAATAAAAAGATAAATGCCCATTAAAACAGACAACTAACATAAGGAACCTAACATAGAAGAAATTTATTTTTTAAAGGAGAATCGTCATGGTTATAGGTTAATTGTACTGTTACATAGTTACATAGTTAGTCTGGCTGAAAAAAGACAAAAGTCCATCGAGTTAAACCACAGAAAAAAAAAAGTTATAATCCTATACCCACAGTTGATCCGGAGGAAGGTAAAAAAACCCAGCAAAGCACGATCCAATTTGCACCTGCTGGGAAACAAATTCCTTCCTGATCCCCCGAGAGGCAATCGGATATTCCCTGGATCAACTTTATATATAAATTTTAGTATCCGGTTATATTCTGTGTATCTAGGAAAGAATCCAGGACTTTTTTAAAGCAATCCACTGAGCTGGCCAGAACCAACTCTTGAAGGTGTCCATTCCACATTTACACAGCTTTCACTGTGAAGAAACCTTTCTGTGTTTGGAGATTACATTTCTTTTCCTCCAGACGTAGAGTGCCCCCTTGTCCTCTGTGATGACCTCAGGGTGAATAACTCTACACCGAGTTCACTATGTGAACCACTGATGTATTTATACATAGAGATCATATCCCCCCTTATGTATTATACATGGAGATCATATCCCCCCTTATGTATTATACATGGAGATCATATCCCCCCTTATGTATTATACGTGGAGATCATATCCCCCCTTATGTATTATACATGGAGACCATATCCCCCCTTATGTATTATACATGGTGATCATATCCCCCCTTATGTATTATACATGGAGATCATATCCCCCTTATGTATTATACATGGAGATCATATCCCCCCTTATGTATTATACATGGAGATCATATCCCCCTTATGTATTATACATGGAGATCATATCCCCCCTTATGTATTATACATGGAGATCATATCCCCCTTATGTATTATACATGGAGATCATATCCCCCCTTATGTATTATACATGGAGATCATATCCCCCCTTATGTATTATACATGGAGATCATATCCCCCCTTATGTATTATACATGGAGATCATATCCCCCTTATGTATTATACGTGGAGATCATATCCCCCTTATGTATTATACATGGTGATCATATCCCCCCTTATGTATTATACATGGAGATCATATCCCCCCTTATGTATTATACATGGAGATCATATCCCCCCTTATGTATTATACGTGGAGATCATATCCCCCTTATATATTATACATGGTGATCATATCCCCCCTTATGTATTATACATGGAGATCATATCCCCCCCTTATGTAATATACATGGAGATCCTATCCCCCCTTATGTATTATACATGGTGATCATATCCCCCCTTATGTATTATACATGGAGATCATATCCCCCCTTATGTATTATACATGGAGATCATATCCCCCCTTATGTATTATACATGGAGATCATATCCCCCTTATGTATTATACATGGAGATCATATCCCCCCTTATGTATTATACATGGAGATCATATCCCCCCCCTTATGTATTATACATGGAGATCATATCCCCCCTTATGTATTATACATGGAGATCATATCCCCCCTTAATCTCCTCTTCTCAAGAGAGAATAAATTCAGTTCCTCTAATCTTTCCTCATAGCTGATCTCCTCCATGCCTCGTATCAGTTTGGTTGCCCTTCTCTGCACTTTCTCCAGTTCCCCAATGTTCTTTTAGTGAATTGGTGCCCAAAACTGAACTGCATATTCCAGATGAGGTCTTACTAATGATTTGTACCGGGGGAAATGATATCTCTCTCTCTGGAGTCTATACCTCTTATAATACAAGAGAGGATTTTGCTTGCTTTAGAAACCGCAGCTTGGCATTGCATGCCATTATTAAGCTTGTGATCGACCAGAACTCCCAGATCCTTCTCCACCATTGATTCCCCCAGTTGTACCCCCCTAGTATGTATGATGCATGCATATTCTTAGCCCCCAAGTGCAGAACCTTACATTTATCAACATTAAACCTCATTTGCCACATAGTTGCCCAATTACACAGAGCATTGAGGTCGGCTTGTAAGTTGGAGACATCCTGTAAGCACGTTATTCCACGGCACAGCTTGGTGTCATCTGCAAAGACTGAAATGGGATTTATAATCCCAGACCCTATATCGTTTATAAATATATTAAAAAGGAAGGGTCCCAACACTGAACCCTGGGGTATACCACTGATGACCCTAGACCATTCAGAGTATGAATCATTAACCACTACTCTCTGAATACGATCTTTTAGCCAGTTTTCTAACCATTTACATACAGATTTTTCCAAGTCCGTAGACTTTACCTGTCAAACGCTTTTGCAAAATCCAAGTATACCAGGGCCACCCCTCTGTCCAAGTATACCATGTCCACGGCCACCCCTCTGTCCAAGTATACCACGTCCACCGCCACCCCTCTGTCCAAGTATACCACGCCCACCGCCAGCCCTCTGTCCAAGTATACCACGTCCACCGCCACCCCTCTGTCCAAGTATACCACGTCCCCACGGCCACCCCTCTGTCCAAGTATACCACGTCCACCGCCACCCCTCTGTCCAAGTATACCACGCCCACCGCCACCCCTCTGTCCAAGTATACCACGTCCATGGCCACCCCTCTGTCCAAGTATACCACATCCACCGCCACCCCTCTGTTCAAGGTTTTGCTCACCCCCTCATAAAAAGAAATCAGATTTGTTTGACAACTTCTGTCTTTCATGAATCCATGCTGTCTGTTTCTTAAAATATACAAAAAAAATTCCAGCAAGAACTCATCTATGTGGTCTTTTATTAAACTCTCCAATATCTTCCCAACTATAAAAGTTAAACTAACAGGTCTATAATTACTTGGTAAAGATTTTGACCCCTTTTTTTAAATATTGGCACCACCTTGGCCTTACGCCAATCCAGTGGTACTATACCAGTCATTAAAGGGTCCCTAAAAATTAGAAACAATGGCTTTGAAATGACAGAGCTCAATTCTTTAATGACCCGCGGGTGTATGCCATCCGATCCAGGTGCTTTATTCACCTTTATTCTGTCTAAATATTTTTGGATCATATCAATTGTGAGCCAATGTGGATCATCTGGAGCTGTGTCAATACCTTGTAATTTATTATTTGCTGTTTTAGCAGTTTGTATACTGTTTTCAATTTATGTATAATTTTATCTTCAGGGTAAATATTTAAAATAGACAGGGATGGTTTATATTCCTTGCATTCTAGGCCATTTGTTTTGTACCACCTCCCCTTCTCCTCCATTCATTAGCTTTACCTTAGTATCACCCTATGATCAGACACCATGGTGGGGATAGAGCAGCTGAAGAAGACCGCTTGCCCACTTTACTTCACTACACCTAGAATCAAAAAGCGTGAATATGGATGATAAGTCAAATAAACAAATGTGCAAAAATGTTCTTTAAAAAAATGACTTTAGTCACAATGCATTAATGTATCCCCAGTTATGAAGGAGTTAAAAGCAGGATACTGATTAAAATTTTGAGCTTTTTGAATGACTAAATATTATCAATTACATTTTTTACATGTATGCTTATTCTAATGCTCACCTAAAATGTTAATACCATCGGTTTTTAAAACCTTTGAAATTTAACTGAAAATACCTTTTTTATTCTTTTCCTTGGGACTTCTGCTCCCGAACACCTAGGTGAGTACATAAATAAATAGATAAATAAATAGTGCTGCACTACGCACTAAACCTAAGATAAAGCAAAAAGTAAACATCTGACAGAGCCCCTACCTAAGATGATATAAGTGCATACCTAGAGAATAACCATGCACAAATGAATGAAAATATCCAAACAGACTAGATGCCCTGCTAGGCAATACCAAATATGAATAAATCAATAAGTGAAACTTCAACATATGTGCAAATAGACAATCTGAGTGATCTATATCAAGGCATAAATAAAAATAATAATAATGATAATATATATATATATATATATATACACACATATATATATATATATATATATATATATATATATATATATATATATACACACATATATATAAATAAAACAAAGCTCACAAAATAAAAAAATGTTGAATAATAAACACCCGGCTGAGTCCACAACCCAGTGACAGTATGTGAATAAATGTCTGTAAATGTAGCAAAAGTCAAGCTCTATAATGCAGAAAAATCTTCCAATCAGCATATATTCCACACGTGACTTGAACAGTGATCACCCTTAAAAATCTTCAACCAGCTAGCATGCACACTCACCTCCCATTTTGACCTACAGGGAATATAGGTCAAATGCGCTTTAATATCAACCTGAAATTCAGCCTGCTCTCCTCTGTAAACGTACTTTACTGGCTCCTTCTCCATTTTCACATATCCAGAAATCCATGTTCAAAAAAAACGTCAAAGGCCATCTCATAGTGTAAAACGTCCATGTTTAATGTATAAAAACCAGGTATAGAATACTCAACTTTTAAAATCAGGCCAGCAGACCTATACAAGCATTGGTAATATAATACATAGGAACAGGCGTACCAAGACCCGACAGCTGCCATCCGACCAGAAATGATGTCACCACACTTCCTTCCTTCCTGGAGTGTGGTGGAAGGAAAGTGTGGTGACAATAAAAAGATCAAAGGGAAGAGTTATCCTTCATAATGTAGCATTAACCTTTAATCCCAAGGATATATAAAATTGCACTTACATAAATAAAATAAGTTGCACTTTGAACAAGAAATAATGGGAATCGGGAACGCTCGTTCCACAGACCGGGTGTGACGTCACCAGAAACCAGAAGTCCCGCCCAATGTGTTTTGTCCCTCCAACTAGGTGTCTTCAGGAAGCAGAACTTTTATTTTATCTATGTAAGTGCAATTTTATATTTCCTTGGCTATTAAGGTTAATACCACACTATGAAAGTTCACTCTTCCCTTCAATCTTTATATTGTCAGAGGTGTCACTCATCTTGTGTCCCTTATCATTGTATTCCATATTAATGGGAAATGGAAATTAGTATCTGAAGCAGAGTGGAGACCCTAACAGAGCCGCGGAATAAAGAGGCACACTACACCAGGGAGAGATTATATCACTCTCAGGGGCGGACTGACAACTCATGGGGCCCCCGGGCAATAGGGGATCATGGGGCCCCTGTGTCCTTGCCCAAACCCAAAAAACCTATGAAAAAGGTACCAGGGGCATCTCATGGGGCCCCTTACTGACCCCAGGCCCTCGGCCAGTGCCCGAGTTTCCAAATGGTCAGTCCGCCCCTGATCACTCTTATGCTGTCAGCAGTGGGTCCATCTTGTCTGGTGAGTGTGAATACAGGAGAGGGGGCACGGACCATGGATCACATTTGTTTCTGAGCACAAAGTCAATGTATGGTTTGCAGAGCATGGAGCACTTTACTGAGGAAGATTTCATTTAGAAGTGGAAGTACTGTACTGCACAACGTTATACTGGACACTTTATAACTATTTATTGTTTACATGTACTGTTTAGTGCTGCGCAGGGTTGGACTGACCATTTGGAAACTCGGGCACTGCCCGGGGTCAGTAGGGGGCCCCATGAGATGCCCCTGGTACCTTTTTCATAGGCATTTTTGAGTTTGGGCAAGGACACGGGGGCCCTATGATCCCCTATTGCTCGGGGGCCCCATGAGTAGTCAGTCCGCCCCTGGTGCTGCGTTTTAATTTCATACTAATAAGCTGTTTACACTTGAGCAGCAGCACCGGAACTGATTTTGGAATCTATAGCATGAGTTTCATAGCTGAATTTCTGCAATGTGAGACCTCAGGCACCGCTGCCTCTAACTGCTAGTCTTAAGATGGCTATACACTGCTCAAATGTAAGCTGATTCCTGCCAAAATTCAAACTAAGTGGCCCTGATGACACCAGCTTGTTCCACAAAATTCAATGTTTCCTTCTTTCTTCCTCTGACAGCCATGTGTGGCAGCTGTCAGAAGACAATAGCTGAATGGTGAGACTTCTTCATCCATGCTGTTTAGAATAGAAGGAGGAACTTATAAGACTTCCCTTTTTCAGCACATATCTCAGTTCTTTTCTTTTTCCTTTTACTAGTTTATTTGAGCCATGCACTGAATATGTTAAACATTTTAAATATATGTGCAGAGGGGAATATACAGGTGAAACTCGAAAAATTAGAATATCGTGCAAAAGTTCATTTATTTCAGTAATGCAACTTAAAAGGTGAAACTAATATATGAGATAGACTCATTACATGCAAAGCAAGATAGTTCAAGCCGTGATTTGTCATAATTGTGATGATTATGGCTTACAGCTCATGAAAACCCCAAATCCACAATCTCAGAAAATTAGAATATTCCATGCAATCAATAAAACAAGGATTGTACATAGAACAATATCGGACCTCTGAAAAGTAGAAGCATGCATATGTACTCAGTACTTGGTTTGGGCCCCTTTTGCAGCAATTACTGCCTCAATGCGGCGTAGCATGGAAGCTATCAGCCTGTGGCACTGCTGAGGTGTTATGGAAGATCAGGATGCTTCAATAGCGGCCTTCAGCTCTTCTGCATTGTTCGGTCTCATGTCTCTCATCTTTCTCTTGTCAATGCCCCATAGATTCTCTATGGGGTTCAGGTCAGGCGAGTTTGCAGGCCAATCAAGCACAGTAATCCCACGGTCATTGAACCAGGTCTCAGTGCTTTTGGCAGTGTGGGCAGGTGCCAAGTCCGGCTGGAAAATGAAGTCCGCGTCCCCATAAAGCTCATCTGCGGAAGGAAGCATGAAGTGCTCCAAAATCTCCTGGTAGACGGCTGCGTTGACCTTGGATTTAATGAAGCACAGTGGACCAACACCAGCAGATGACATGGCTCCCCAAATCAACACAGACTGTGGAAACTTCACAATGGACTTCAAGCATCTTGCAGTGTGTTCCTCTCCATTCTTCCTCCATACTCTGGGTCCTTGGTTTCCAAATGAGATGCAAAAGTTGCTCTCATCAGAAAAGAGGACTTTGGACCACTGAGCAACAGACCAGGTCTGTTTTTCTTTAGCCCGGGTAAGACGCTTCTGACGTTGTTTGTTGTTCAGGAGTGGCTTGACAAGAGGAAAATGACATTTGAAGCCCATGTCCAGGATCCGTCTGTGTGTGGTGGCAACAGACAGCATGGATTCATGAAAGACAGAAGTTGTCAAACAAATCTGATTTCTTTTTATGAGGAGGTGAGCAAAACCTTGGACAGAGGGGTGGCGGGTGGACGTGGTGGTATACTTGGACAGAGGGGTGGCGGTGGACGTTGTGTATACTTGGACAGAGGGGTGGCGGTGGACGTGGTATACTTGGACAGAGGGGTGGCGGTGGACGTGGTATACTTGGATTTTGCAAAAGCATTTGACACAGTTTCCCACACACGGCTAATGTGTATGGTAAAGTCTACAGGCTTGGAAAAATCTGTAAGTAAATGGATAGAAAACTGGTTAAAAGATCGTATTCAGAGAGTAGTGGTTAATGATTCATACTCTGAATGGTCTGGGGTCAAAGAAAAAACTGGTCATCTACCCAGGTCTATAACTGGCTTTTTAAACAGTGAACATATAAGGCGTCACAGAGTAAAAAATTTAACTATCCAGCTCAACTTGCCAGCCTACCCCAGACTAATAATATTGTCGGCAAGGAACATGGATAAATATAACTTATCAAAGGAGGGGGATAAGAAAGTCAGTTCAAACTGCCAGCCAGTTAGCCAACTATCAAAAACAAAATTAACCTATCTAAGAACATGCATTTAAAAACAGGGGTTTAGTTAGCACACATTTGCAAATACATACGTAAGCCACAGAGCCACGTCACAGCACCCTGAGTATCTGTGGTCCTAACTCTATAAATCTTGAGAGTCCTCACAATGGAGGCACATGCATTTAAATGGATAGAAACAAGGCAGGTGAACCTGAGGGAGCCCACCCCTCATTAGGTCATGGGAGCGCACCTGACACCCAGCATGTAGCACAACAGCAGCCAGGATGTCCAATGCACCCACTGAACCTCCAAAATTAACATACAAAGAAAAAACTGGTCATCTACCCAGGTCTATAACTGGCTTTTTAAACAGTGAACATGGAAGGCGTCACAGAGTAAAAAATAGAACTATCCAGCTCAACTTGCCAGGTCATCAGTGGTGTACCCCAAGGTTCAGTGTTGGGACCCTTACTTTTTAATATATTTATAAATGATATAGGGTCTGGGATTATAAATCCCATTTCAGTCTTTGCAGATGACACCAAGCTGTGCAGTGGAATAACGTCCTTACAGGATGTCTCCAACTTACAAGCCGACCTCAATGCTCTGTGTAATTAGGCAACTATGTGTCAAATGAGGTTTAATGTTGATAAATGTAAGGTTCTGCACTTGGGGGCTAAGAATATGCATGCATCATACATATAGGGGGGGTACAACTGGGGGAATCAATGGTGGAGAAGGATCTGGGGGTTCTGGTAGATCACAAGCTTAATAACGGCATGCAATACCAAGCTGCATTTCTAAAGCGAGCAAAATCCTCTCTTGTATTAAAAGAGGTATAGACTCCAGAGAGAGAGATATCATATTACCCGGTACAAATCATTAGTAAGACCTCATCTGGAATATGCAGTTCAATTTTGGGCACCAATTCACAAAAAGAACATTGGAGAAGGTACAGAGAAGGGCAACCAAACTGATAAGAGGCATGGAGGAGCTTAGCTATGAGGAAAGATTAGAGGAACTGAATTTATTCTCTCTTGAGAAGAGGACATTAAGGGGGGATATGATCAACATGTATAATACATAAGGGGGGGATATGATCTCCATGTATAAATACATAAGGGGGGATATGATCACCATGTATAATACATAAGGGGGGATATGATCACCATGTATAATACATAAGGGGGGATATGATCTCCATGTATAATACATAAGGGGGATATGATCTCCATGTATAATACATAAGGGGGGGATATGATCTCCATGTATAATACATAAGGGGGGATATGATCTCCATGTATAATACATAAGGGGGGATATGATCTCCATGTATAATACATAAGGGGGGATATGATCTCCATGTATAATACATAAGGGGGGGATATGATCTCCATGTATAATACATAAGGGGGGATATGATCTCCATGTATATATACATCAGTGGTTCATATAGTGAACTCGGTGTAGAGTTATTCACCCTGAGGTCATCACAGAGGACAAGGGGGCACTCTTTACATCTGGAGGAAAAGAGATTTAATCTCCAAATCAGGGGCGGACTGACAACTCATGGGGCCCCCAGGCAATAGGGGATCATGGAGCCCCCGAGTCCTTGCCCACACTCAAAAAAGCCTATAAAAAAAGGTACCAGGGGCATTTCATGGGGCCCCCTACTGACCCCGAGCCCTCAGGCAGTGCCCGAGTGCTCAAACGGTCAGTCCACCCCCGCTCCAAAGAGGTTTATTCACAGTAAGAGCTGTGAAAATGTGGAATAGACTCCCTCAAGAGTTGGTTCTGGTCAGCTCAGTAGTTGCTTTAAAAAAAGTCCTGGATTCTTTCCTAGATACACAGAATAGAACTGATTACTAACATTTATAGGTAAAGTTGATCTAGAGAATATCCGATTGCCGTTGAAGGGAATCAGGAAGGAATTTTTTTCCCCGCAGGAGCAAATTGGATCATGCTTTGCTGAGTTTTTTTGCCTTCCTCTTTTTGTTGAACTGGATTGACATTTGTCTTTTTTCAGCCAGACTAACTTTGTAACTATATGTAACTATGTAACAGTCAGGGAAAGACTAAAAAGTATAGTACTGGACTCTATCAATTAAGCACACAGAATAGGCTGCCTGATCTGATTTTCATTTTGCCTTGAACCATATTGATTGCATATTTACATTAAACACATTACTAAGTACTCTGCTGTCTCCTATGTGTTATATGGATACAAACAAGGTGGCTACATTGCCTTCTTCCTTTAAATAATGCTCATTATAATTGTGATCTAATTTAGGGAACACAGGATGTTGGGTTATTTTCTGTGTGATAATGGAGTTGTTGTCTAATGTACAGCAATGCCTGCTTTACAACAGAACATGTTCATTTATCTCCTGTTGGCTTTATAGTTACATTCACATGCATATCATGCTTTCTACCGCCATGACATGAGTTATGGTAATTGCTTAATTGAAATCAGTCAAGTCTTGTTGTATGTATTTTACACATTTTTGATGTTTACGTTTTTTCCTTAAACTGGTCATATGCCAGTAGAATTTCATTTGAATGTGTTTGTATGCAAATGTAAAAATAATTTAAACAAATTATTTTTTCATGGTCTGGTACATGAAGTGATTTACCAACATCCCTATATCCCTATATGTTCAAAAACAAACCAACAGTATCAACAGGACTTGAAGGGTACATCACCATTATCATAACAACAACTTCAGTATATTAAAAACACACTTTTTTTAACCACTTGCCGTCTGCCCGCTGTATATAAATGACCGGACAGTGACAGTCCAGGGGTGGGTTGCCGTTCATAAATGGCACCAGGGGCGGACTGACCATTTGGAAACTCGGGCACTGCCCGAGGGCCCGGGGTCAGTAGGGGGCCCCATGAGATGCCCCTGGTACCTTTTTCATAGGCTTTTTTTGAGTTTGGGCAAGGACACAGGGGCCCCATGATCCCCTATTGCCTGGGGGCCCCATGAGTTGTCAGTCCGCCCCTGAATGGCACCCACCATTTTGGACTGTGCGCACTCCCTGGGAGCGCGCAGCACCACGATCCGGTGCGCACTGTGTCCTTGGGACACAGTGGAACACCGATCGTCGTACGGGACCTCTGTGGTCCCGATCATGTGATCACTGATTGGCCAATCAGTGATCACATGCAGAGTAGTAAGCAAGCAAGACTTCTGACATCATTGCTTACTACGTGTGAAATCTGTGAATGATCACAGAGGTCACAGTGTACAAGACTATTCACATATTGTACCATGTGACAAGCTGTGACCAATCACAGCTCACACAGTAGTTCTCAATGGCTGCAAGAATGCAGCCAGGGAGAAGGAGAAATGATTGCTTTTACAGCCTTTATGGGTGTAAAAGCAATCAGTGTAAAAAAAAAACTTCATCACCCCCCACAAGTAGTACAGTGTCACCATGGTGACACTGTACTGCTAGGATGACAGTATGTAGAAAAAAACCCATAAATTATAATATTAAAAAAAAACAAATTTAAAAAAAAAAAATTTAAATTATAATTTTTGGTTATAAACTAATTTGTGTAATTTTTTTTACTAAAAAGATAACTGAATACATTTTGGGCAAGATTTATGATGAAATATTATTTATTTGCAAAATTTTATAACAAAAACACTTTTTTTCAAAATTTTTAGACTTTTTCATTTATATAGCAAAAAAAAATAAAAATCCCAGTGGTGAATAAATACCATCAAAATAAAACTTTATCTGTCTCAAAAATTGCAAAAAAATTCATATGGGTACAGTGTTGCATGAACGCGCAATTGTCATTCAAAGTGTGATAGCGCTGAAAGCTAAAAATTGGCCTGGACAGGAAGGGGGTAAAAGTGTCCGGACAGGAAGTGGTTAATACAATAGCTACAATAAAAACAATGGCTGATTTAGACTGTACATTCTTAATGTTGCTCATCTTATAGATAATCCATATACCGTATATACTTGAGTATAAGCCGACCCGAATATAAGCCGAGGTATCTAATTTTACCACAAAAAACTGGGAAAAACTATTGACTCGAGTATAAGCCCCATCATTAGTATCAGTGGGAGGAATAGTGCTCCATTATTGGTGTCAGGGGAGGAATAGTGCCCCATCATTGGTATCAGTGGTGGAATAGTGCCCCATTATTGTGGGAGGAATAGTGCCCCATCATTGGTAGGAATAGTGCCCCATGTCAGTGGGAGGAATAGTGCCCCATCATTGGTATCAGTGGGAGGAATAGTGCCCCATCATTGGTGTCAGTGAGGAATAGTGCCCCATTATTGGTATCAGTGGAGGAATAGTGCCCCATCATTGGTGTCAGTGGGAGGAATAGTGCCCCATTGTTGCTGTCAGTGGGAGGAATAATGCCCCATCATTAGTATCAGTGACACCAATGATGCGGCACTATTCCTCCCACTGACACCAATGACACTTGCTGACCCCTGTTGCAGTATGGTGCTGCTGCAGCCAGCATATGTGGTTGCAGCAGCACCTCTGCACTGCACACTTACCGGCTTTTCCCTCACTCGATTTTTGCGGGTCTGCTCGGCTCCGCCTCCTCGCCGTGATTGGCCGCCTGTGTACCTTTCCTGAGCTACAGTTCTGGCGGCCAATCACCGGTGAGGAGGCGGAGCCAAGCGGCAGGAGTGAGGGAGTGGCCGGAGTGACAGAAGGAGCAGCGCTTCCTGGATGGATCATCGTGGGAGCCAGGTAAGAGACAGCTGCCCACCCCTGTACACGCCCCCCTTGACGGAGCCTCGCGCCCCCCCTGGACGTCTGCAGACATTTACTCGAGTATAAGCCGAGGGGGCCGTTTTTCAGCACAAAAAAATGTGCTGAAAAACTCGGCTTATACTCGAGTATATACGGTAGAACCATAAAACATCAATAATGAATTCCATTTTCATTTGACTTATTCTGATCCACTGGGTAGGCCATGATGTAACTTTAACATAGGTCCATCAGGCAGAGGACATTTCTCTCAACGCGTTTCATAAACCTCAGTTGACTTCATCAGGAAAAGATGATATTGTGTCTTTAAAATACAGTTATACAATGTTGTACCAAGTCAAAACAATACAAATATATCCATATAATTGAAACAATAGTTGTCACGTGATATATTCCAATATGAGTAAAACTTACAAGTCACTCAGAATTTAAAAAATTTTAACTCTCCAGAAGAGGAACACCAAGGGAGGTCTTACCCAGGGACCATAGGGAAGACAATTTTCATTTTGAACAAATTAATTATTAGAATATTAAACAAATGTCACAAAATATTTTTTTTCTATGAAAATTCTATTGATGTATTGCCAGCTTTAGTTCTACCCACACTTCATTATGCATACCTTTGCACCCAACATGTTAATATAGTGTTGCTAAGGTATGGAAAAGAGTCAGTGTTGCCAACCGTCAGTATTTTTACAGGCAGCCAGTAAAAAAATGGGCACTTTTGTCCTGCCAGTAAATGCCAGTGACAGGAAAAGTTTGCCAGTAAAAAATATGGCTTCGACGTTTGGTTCGGAACTGTTCATGTGCAGTTCAGGTCTGGAGGTGGCTGAGATCATTTGAATGCCTGCAACAGTGTGTTTGGGCAGCAAGGGCGGGTCTGGCAGAGGCCATGCTGAGCATGTCCTGTGATGTCATGGTGTAAGGGAGCCAAGCAGAGCAACTGGAGCCTAATGGGCGGATCTGTGGGATGGGAGCAAGGCAAGCCAGGAGCAGGACTGTCAGTGTTATTTGGACTGGAATGGGCTGAAGGGACCACCTGGTGTGGAGAGACACTTTCTCTGTGACTCAGGAGGGGACGTGTCATGTCGGGGAGGTGTCATCATCATCTGTGCTGCTGCACACTGCCATCAGAGTCAATTTCACATGTGTTACATAGTTAGTCTGGCTGAAAAAAGACAAAAGTCCATCCAGTTCAACCATTAAGTGTGTATCTGCCAATTCTATTTTCTTGACCTCCTGAGTCGAATCCCTGAGCTACTTAATTACTATATTATTATTATTATACAGGATTTACAGTGAAGGAAATAAGGATAAATCCCCTGTGATTTTGAATGTTTGCCCACTCACAAAGAAATAATCAGATAAAAATCGAATGGTAGGTGTATTGTAACACCAAAAGTCTAACAAATGATGACTGATTTGCATGTTCATGAGGGAAATAAGTATTTGATTCCCTATCATTCAGCAGGATTTCTGGATACCAGGTGTCTTTCATACAGGTAACAAGCTGAGATTAGAAGCAGTCTCTTAAAGGGAGTGCTATTAATCTCATTTTGTTACCTGTATAAAAGACACCTGTCCACAGGAGCAATCAAGCAATCAGATTCCAAACTCTCCACCATGGCAAAGACCAAAGAGCTGTCCAAGGATGTCAGGGACAAGATTGTAGACCTACACAAGGCAGGACTGGGCTAAAAAACTATCGCCAAGCAGCTTGGTGAGAAGGTGACAACAGTTGGTGCAATCATTCGCAAATGGAAGAAACACAAAAACAACTGTCAATCTCCCTAGGTCTGGTGCACCATGCAAGATCTCACCTCGTGGAGTGTCAATGATCATGAGAATAGTGAGGAATCATCCCAGAACTACACGAGGATCTTGTCAATGATCTCCAGGCAGCTGGGACCATAATCACCAAGAAAACAATTGATAACACACTACGCCGACAAGGATTGAAATCCTGTAGTGCCCGCAAGGTTCCTCTGCTCAAGAAAGCACATGTCCAGGCCCGTCTGAAGTTTGCCACTGAACATCTGAATAATGCAGAGGAGGACTGGTTGAAAGTATTGTGGTCATATAAGACCAAAATCGAGCTCTTTGGCAGAAACTCAACTCGCCATGTTTGGAGGAGGAGGAATGCTGCCTATGACCCCAAGAACACGATCCAAACTATCAAACATGGTGGTGGAAACATTCTGCTTTGGGGGTGTTTTTCTGCTAAGGGGACAAGGATAACTGCACCACATAAAAGGGACGATGGACGGGGCAATGTACCATCAAATTTTGGGTGAGAACCTTCTTTCCTCAGCCAGGGCATTAAAAAATGGGTCGTGGATGGCTGATCCAGCATGACAATGGCCCAAAACACACAGCCAAGGCAACAAAGGAGTGGCTCAAGAAGAAGCACATTAAGGTCCTGAAGTGGCCTAGTCAGTCTCAAGACCTTAATCCGATTGAAAATCTGTGGAGGGAGCTGAAAGTTCGAGTTGCCAAACATCAGTCACCAAATCTTAATGACTTGGAGAGGATCTGCCAAGAGGAGTGGGCCAAAATCCCTCCTGAGATGTGTGCAAACCTGGTGGCCAACTACAGGAAACATCTGACCTCTGTGATTGCCAACAAGGGATTTGCCACCAAGTACTAAGTCATGTTTTGTGAAGGGGATCAAATACTTATTTCCCTCATGAACATGCAAATCAGTGCATCATTTGTTAGAATAGCAACAAAAAATTCAAAAGAGATGCATGTCTGTCTCTCAGTGTTACAATATACCTACCCAGGGGCGGACTGACAACTCATGGGGCCCCCGGGCAATAGGGGATCATGGGGCTGCAGTTTGCTGCAGTGCTGGCCTCAGCCCAACATACTGGGTTATGCTTCAGTGTTTTTATAGCGGCAAAACTTATTTGTCCTAGTCCTGCCATTGTCTGCTAAGCATTGTGTATGTATCTTCACCAGAGGCGGACTGATAACTCATGGGGCCCCCGGGCAATAGGGGATATTGGGGCCCCTGTATCCTTGCCAAAACTCAAAAAAGCCTATGAAAAAGGTACCAGGGGCATCTCATGGGGCCCCCTACTGACCCGGGCCCTCGGGCAGTGCCCGAGTTTCCAAATGGTCAGTCCGCCCCTGCACCTAACATTCGATTTTTAGACTGATCATTTCTTTGTGAGTGGGCGAACATTCAAAATCAGCAGGGGATCAAATACTTATTTCCTTCACTGTATATAGCGCCAACAGTTTGCACAGCTCTTTACAAAATGAAGGTAGACATTACAGTTACAATACAATTTGGTACAAGAGGAAACAGAGGGCCCGGCTCGTTAGAGCTTACAATCTATATCAAAAATAAAATAGGAAATATGTTTTTGCCTTAATATCTACCTTAAATCACATTGCTAATTTTATACTGTCATTGTTTGTAGCCTAAATACTGAAATTTACACTTAAAACTGTAATTTGTTTACTTTTGGAATTGCCAATAAAAGCTTGGCTGTGCCAGTAAAATTTCAGGGATGGCGGTCAGCAGGAGGAAGAGTAGTGCCCCATAATTGGTATTAATGGGAGGAACAGTGGAGTATTTAGGTTTTGTGGTGCCCTAGGCAACACAAAAATTGGCACACCCCCCTCCTCCCCTCAGAAAGAGCCTGACATTGACCAAGAACACCCCCTGCCCTCCACCCGAGCCTTCAAATACCACTACCCCCCCCCCCCACCCATACACCAGCCACCACCCCCCATGGCGAGAGAGAGAAAGACACTCACCTTCACAGCTCCGGACATCCCCAGGAACAAGAGTCGGGCTGTGCATACACCATCATGAAACCCACAGCATCTTTCGGAACCCACCAGGTCCCCATGCCGCGTGTGTCCCTTCTTCCATCCCTTCTTCCAAGGGGCAGTGCTGGCCCCCTTGAAAAATGCCACCCTAGGCAAATGCCTTGTTTGGAAGAATGCCATGGACGTTTCTGTGTGAGAGAGAACCTGAAACATCACCCTGTGGATGATCAAGAATAATCCTAGAGCAGAGTGTGTTGGTAGGTGGATTTTTTCGGGCATTCTTCCAGATTGGAAGTCTTTGTAGAGACGATACCATCATAGCCTGACCAGTGGCAATTTATGAGCTGGTTTATGGATGTAGGATCTGTGCCCAATTGTCTGGATTTACAAAGTGGTCCCTTGTTTGAGATCTATATGCTGGTATTTTCTACATTTCTGGTAATAGTATATTATCCATTAGATGTGGACACTGTCACGATTTGACACTGCATGCAAGTGTTACCCTCATATTTTTATGCATGTTGTTCACACTTATATTCACCGATAGATCACGTGTGGTATTTATGTGATTCACATGTGTGTGGTTCAGTGTGATTCACATTCGTTTGCAGTGATGTTCGTCTAATTCCATGCATTTATGGTATTAAACTATATTAGTTCTCTTTCTTTTGAGGTTCAATCTCCAAGATTTATTGGGACTATCATCTTGCTGGAACATCATTCTGTGGACTGTTTTTGAATATCCATGGTTCTGGACATTATACACATATATATTTTGGACACTATTATTTAAAAGTTTTATTCATTCATTTTTTGACATTTATTGATCAATAGCACTTATTTATTATCGATTTATACACTTTTTAGGGTAAAAGTGTTTTGTGCAATTGGGATACTATATATAGGAGGAACACTGTTATTCTGATATTAAATGCCTTGTTTGCCTTGTGGTAAATACACCCCAGGGGAGGAATAGTACCCCATAAGTGTTATCAGTGGAAGAAATAGTGCCCCATTGTTGCTGTCAATGGGAGGAATACTGCTTCATATCATTGGGAGAAATGGTGCCCCAAGGGCCAGATAAAGGCTAGCAAAAGGGCCACTTCCAGTTTGGAGACCCCTGCAATAGAGGACCAACCACTGGCAGAAGAAAAGGACCCATTTATTTTGACAGCTTTTAAGACTTCATAAAAAGATAAGTATAATAAACAAACAGCATACCCTGGGGGGGGGGGGCAGACTATTAGAGGAGTGATCGAATGGGGGGCTGACCCCAGAGTTAGGCTTTAACTTTAAAACTTCTACATGACTCAGTTCATGAAAAGTATGTCATTAGTGTTTATGGTCATTCAGTAAATATAACACCAGCATGAAATTCCACTTTTAGGAATGCAAATTATTTTCTTACATTCTTCATTGCCACAGGAAAAAAAGCAGTTTGATTTATTCCACCGCAAGGGCTTTATAAAAAGCCGTTTGGAAAATGGTGTGCCGTGCGTGACAAGACTGTGTTTTGTTGGTGGGTTTGATATACAGTATGGAGGAATGGTAAAAAGATCAGTGTACGGAAGGACTTGTGAGGATCAAAGTGCAGCGGAGGGGATTGAGACTTACCTGCCCACGTCTGTGCTCTGCTGTGGACAGCTTTCCTTGGCACGGGCTGAAACATAAAGAAGAACATTCTGCACAAAGGTTTGTCTTGGCAAATCCAGTGTAATGCGTTAATTGCACTGTTCTATCAGTTTAAATAAATATGGCCAGGACATAGCAGAGTAATGTTAAGAAAGGGCAAATTATTTAAACAGAAGTCCAAAGTCTCATGCCAATATCATCAAATGCTGATAGAATAGGTGTCTTAGAGGGGAGAACAACTTGTTTAAAGCTGAACTCCAGGCAGAGGTAAAAGGCACAAATTAATGCAGCTCTGTAATCATTAGAAATATTTTTACATTTCTTTAAATGTCTTTTTTAACCCCTTACTGCTGGCGCCTCCTGGCCCTTTAGGAGGTTTCAGATGCCAGGAGGTGGGCATTTCGGTCATGTCACAGCCGTGATTGGCTTCCACAGTGGTCACATGATTGGAAAGCTTTCCGGTACCAGTTGATAACTGTGCTAGGAACGTGCAGGGTGTGCGCTCCAACTGGGAGAGAGAGAAGTAGCACAAGAAGCAAACCGGGTGTGCTGCAGCGTACGTAGCATGCTGATAGGAGGAGACAGCAGAGTGACAGACAGATGAGCCCAGCAGTCTGTTGATTTTCATTTCACTGTCCAGTCACAGGCTGGGGGGAGGGACAAGACCTGGATGTGTTATCTAACTGTAGACAGAGCTGTGAGAATCTTAGAACTGGTTCCAAATGCAAGGTCAGTTTAATGCCTAGCCCACAACTCTCCCAAAGCAAAACACACAGCTGAGCACAGATCGCGGTAAGAGGCACAATCACAGCAGCCCTTTACCATGTGATCAACTGTTTTCAATCACAGGCAATCACATTGTAAACAGACTTGCCGGTTATCAGCAGTCTTTTTATCACTCGTTTTCACAGAGTGAGGAGAGGAGAGCTGGTAATGGCAATTCTGAAAGGAAACATTTACACTGATAATCAGTGCCCTGATTATCAGTGCAGCCCCATCAGTGGCCATCAATGCAGCTTATCAGTACTGCCTATCAGTGGCCATCAGTGCCGTGTATTAGCGCCCATCAGTGCCACATGGCAATGGCCATCAGTGCTACCTATCAGTGCCTATCAGTGCTGCCTATCAGTGCCCATCAGTACCCATCAGTGCTGCCTATCAGTGCAGCCCCATCAGTGCCCATCAGTGCAGCTTATCAGTACTGCTTATCAGTGCCCATCAGTGCAGCTTATCAGTACTGCTTATCAGTGGCCATCAGTGCAGTGTATTAGCACCCATCAGTGCCACATATCAGTGCCATCAGTGCTACCTATCAGTGCCCATCAGTGCTGTCTATCAATGCCCATCAGTGCCACCAATCAGTGCTACCTATCAGTGCCCATCAGTGCTGTCTATCAGTGCCCATCAGTGCCACCCATCAGTGCTGCCTATCAATGGAGCCTCATCAGTGCATCCAATTAGCGCCCATCAGTGCAGCATCATCAGCGCACATCAGTGAAGTAGAAAAATTACTCTGCAACATTTTATAACAGAAACTAAGAAACAAGTTTTTTTTCCCAAAAGTTTCTGTCTTTTCTCATTTGTTTAGCAAAAGCTAAAAAAAATAACAGTGGTGATTAAATACCACAAAAAGAAAGCTCTATCAAACAATATGATGATGAAAAATTTCACATGGGTACAGTGTTGCATGACCGCATAATTGTCATTCAAAGTGTGATAGCGCTGAAAGCTGAAAATTGGCCTGGGCAGGAAGGGGGTAAGAGAGTGCCCAGTAGGTGGTTAATTTAAAACACCAGGAAGATACACCTGCAGCTGATACATATTGGCTGCATTATAAATATCTGCCATAGTGTATATTCAATATTCAATGTGTTTATTTATACAAACAGATAAATGATTCAGAGGAGTGACATGCTCACCTCCCTGGTTCTCGTTCTTGCAGTTCAGCTAAAAGTATCAGTTAGAGACATGCAATCCATAAGTGAGCATTTACTGCGAGGTGTCTATATAGAAAGTCCAGAATCCTCTGTGAACACATGGAGGTTGATTTACTAAACCATGAGAGTGCACTCTCTGACAAAGCTGTGCAGAGAAACCAATCAGCTTCCAGGTTTTATTGTCAAAGCTTAATTGAACAAGCTGAAGTTAGAAGCTGATTGGCTGCCATTCACAGCTGCACCAGATTTTGCACTCTCCAGGATTAGTAAATCAACCCCAGTGTCATGGAAGCACATTGTGTTAAATAGAATTAAAGACCAATTTAATTTTGCTCTCCTCTCTCTATCCCCTTCTCTCCTAATGCAAACCATAGATGGGTCGAAAATCGGCCGGTTTTTCGGCCGAAAAAGAAATCGGCCGATTTTCGCACTGTTAATGGGTTAATTGGTCGGTCGTCTTTCTGGATTTTGTCAGATTTTTTTGATCGGTAAAGTTGGAAAAAAATCGGCCGATTTTGACGATCGGATGATTTTCGCGGCAATGATGGGCAAATCGGCCGTTCTTTTTACCGATAAAAAATCTGTGCATGAGCCGTGACCTGCAAGTAAAAGAAGAAGAAAAAGAAGAAGAGGAAGACGAAGAAGAAGAGAAAGAGGAAGAAGAGAAAGAAGAAGAAGAGAATGAAGAAGAAGAAGAAGAGAAAGAAGAAGAAGAAGAAGAGATAGAAGAAGAAGAGAAAGAAGAAGAAGAGGAAAAGAAAGAGGAAGAGAAAGAAGAGAAAGAAGAAGAAGAAGAAGAAGAAGAGAAAGAAGAAGAGAAGAGAAAGAGAAAAAAGAAGAGAAAGAGGAAGACAAGAAAGAAGAAGAATTCCAGTCCGCTATTATATTTGACATTATAAAGTATAGCGGTCGCAACAATGTATCTATTTGTATCCGAAAAAAACCCATCTGTATCCGAAATGGATACAAATAGATACAATGTTGCAACCGCAATACTTTTTTAATGTCAAATATAATAGCGGGGCTCTCTGCAGGGACAGAAGTAATTAAATTCCGACCGTAGACGGGAAGAAAATCGGCCAATTTTTTTTTTACTGTTAGTGGTAACGTCGGCCTATTGAACGACCGATTTTTTGTTTTTTTGTTAAAAAAATGGCCGTTTTTTTTCCCCGTCTATGGCCTGCATAATCCTCTCCTTTACTTTTTAAAATATTTTGGCATGCACACCTTTCTTATGACATGTATGTCCACCTTGGTACTTTATAAAATATTTTAACACTTAGGACATATCCACTACATGGAATCTTGTGATTACATTAAAATTACATGAAGAACTGGTACACAGGAATATGGATTAATGTTGTTTGTACATTCAAGTAATACTTACAGAGC